ATGACATTATTTTGTTGCTCTATCCTGAACATTCCTGGCCATCTAAATACAACACCAGGGGTACCATTCACTGCAGGTAGAGGCTTAAGGAGATTTGAAAAACATCTGCAAAAAGAGAAGTACTCTTTAACAGCTGAATTCTTTCCGACTGTAATAGAGGCAAGAAAATCAACAACCTTTCCCAGTTTTATCAAAATTTGGCACAATCAAAATGAGAGCAACTGGTACAAAAGGTTTTCTGTGAAGTAGCCATACACAGATCAGTCATCCACCAAGATGAGCACCTTGGAAAACCACTAAGTTAAACAGAGCATAAGCACATGGCCTCCTAACCAAACAAACAGTCTATTACAAGAAATTGATCAGACAGAAGGCACTTCCCAAAACCTGAGGAATCTCGAACCCCACTGTAAGAGCAGGACTGGCAATTCAAAGGGGAGGCTGGCAAGAAGAATGTGTGGTCAGATTTTCATTTCTTCCCCCAGATCAAGTTTTCAGTTGTGGATGAAGTGTTACTGAGCTGCAGGTTAATAAGCTTCTCTGAGGATGTAGTCAGAAGCCTCTAATCACAGTGCTCTTCAAGAAGCTTGCTTTTCAGACAAACTGCATCATTAAGAAAGAGAAATGAAAAAGGTTTTAAACCGAAGGCCTTGAGAAAAGCAAACACTGTTTTTCCAAACACCAAGAAGTTGCTGCAAAGAGGTGAAAAAACCCACCCAACAATGATCTCATTAGAGGCAAGTCTGAAGAAGGCAACACTGTTAATGAAAATACAGACAAAACTCATCCATTTCTGGCTGTTGCTAAGACAGAAACAGTGACTGCTGACTGCCTTCCTAAGAATGTCAGCACACGGGGAAAGCAGCACCTAAGCACTGTGTGTCACAGCCCTAAGCAGATTCCTGAAACTATGCAAGAAACTTGGCAAAAAGCTTCCGAATAATCTCTTCCAAGTCTTCTACTTATGTTAACCACTACAGCTGTGCTGCCAGGTCGGCTCAGAACAGCATGACAGGCAGACCAAACTGGCATGGCTTGAGAGATTTAAGCTGGAGTCTACGTACTTCTAAGCCTGCTTAACTGAGCTCTCTACACATACATGGGAGAAAATAAGGAATTCCTGCTCTCTCCTCAAGCCCCATCAAAGAGCCAAAGCACATACCCTCAGGACACACTTCTATCGAGAAGCAGTGAAAGAAAGAAAAACTGGACTGGCTTCATGGCCAAGAAAAATTCCTACCACTACTGGCTGCTGCTGCTCGTCTTGCAAAGGACATTAATTCATCACTCCAGATCAATGATTTCATGGTGCAAAATTACATAACAGAAGCAAATTAAATTTATAAAAATCAGGGTTTTCATAATTTTATTTATACTATTAGCTAGAGAGAAAGCATACATATTGTATCTGTCATACAGTCAATACATTTGCAGGTTTTTTTCTACTGTAAATTCTCTATACAAAGTCATTGCCAATTGATACGGTCATTGATGGCATAGGGCTTAAAATAACCGAGAGGTATAAAAACAAGTTTGCCATCTTGCCCTGAGTGGAAATGGTGAACAGATACAAAAAACCAAATCCTAAATATTGATGTGTTATTATTATACATGATTTAATGGTATATGCAAGTAAAAAGAATCATGCAACTTTTTAAAATACCTGCCAGGTTTTACTTGAGTAAAATCATAGAAGTCAGTAGTAATTATGAAAATATGTTCCTGCCATTAGGTACTCAATATGCAATTTCAGTGGCAACTTCAGTGGGAGACTGGGTATTTCATGTTAGATCTGAGTGCCAGCACTGAAAGTATCCATTTCCTTTAGTGTTTTAAAACTCATGTGTCAATATAAATAAAAATCTAAAGATATCTTTTTTAAAAACTAGTGAAGGAAAAGCCACGTTTCTTTTCCTTGCTATTTCAGATCAATGCCAACAACGTATGTCTCATCCCTCAATTTTTGGCAGCTTCTATGTTTTAATCTGGAAAAATCATAAGATAGTCAACAAAATAAAGAAGTCTTCTGTTAACCATTGTTCCCTAAAAAGAACACCACAAATCAGTCTGAATTGTAAAGCTGCTATAAGGTAAATGCTTGTAACTACTAGAAGGAATTTTCAGATATAAATATATATATAATATATATTCTGCATACAAAAGGCTCCTGTGAGGCTTATCACCAAGATGCCACAATAGAGAAGGAAAATTTTTGCAGGGAACAAACCCAACACTGTGAAGTCTCTATAAGGCATTTACCTTTCACTTTAAGCCCTGTATTACAACATTTAAGTTCTGAAAATAACTGAAATTCAAATTCCGCATGTTCAGTTTCTTTCTGCTAAGAGCAAGGCGGCAAACGCATTTTTAAAACCTGTTTTAAGAAGATTAAGCAGAACAAAAGTAAAATATATCTTCAGGTTATAAACAGAATTGTATTTTACAATCCACCATCCTCACAATATAATGGCCCACAGCAGTGCAGCACAAGGATCTCAGTCTAAAGGTTGTGGGTCTGCAATAGGCATGGTATGAAGTACTTCATCTAGAAGCTGGAGCGCACGGTGTAAGTGAATTTCAATCCAGCACGGTGTCTCTTTGATGCTCTGCCTTGGGTAATCAGGTCCCCAACCTTTCACAAAACTCATCCTGAGTATGCATAAGCGGCGAAGATCATCTACACCAATTCCAGCAGCAGCTGACAAACCTAAACAGGAGAGGTTTCATCAAGTAAGTGTTCATGGATATGTTCTTCCATTATCTGTTTTAGCCACTCATGTTTGTTTGGGTCTTCCTTCACGTGCAGTTCCCTCTCACCACAACCAAAGCCAATCCATATTTCTAGATCTCTGCTATCACAAATCATAGAATCACAGAATGTTTTGGGTTGGAAAGAACCTTAAGATTGCCCAGTCCCAACTCCCTGCCATGGGCAGGGATGCCTCACACCAGACTGGGTCACCCAAGAATCTCTCCAACCCGGCCCTGAACACTGCCAGGGATGGAACATAGCAATCATTTTGCATTTCTTTTAATTAGTTGTTTTTTCATCATTCTTCAACTTTGAAAGGGTGCTGAAATACTGAATCTCTTATGATAAAGCAGACATTATGAAACCCAGAATCTTACACGATACAATGCATGTAAACCTTATTCAGGAAATACAGTCAGAAAACACTTATTCTTGAGGTTTGCCAAATGTTGCATTTTCAACACAGAACTCAGGCTTACCCCCTGCAAGAAGCTGGATTAACAAATGACACTACTTATATCTAATAAAAAGATTAATAGCTGGCAAACTTCAAATCACACATATGGCTAAGACAAAAAGTTACATACAATCCCCAAATGCCCTCAGTGATTTGTAGGATAGCCAAAAAGAGCCACATGGAATCCAGAAAATGCTATGGCACACAGGAAGAAATTCTTTACTGTGAGGGTGGTGAGGCACTGGAACAAGCTGCCCAGAGAAGTGGTAAATGCTCCATCCCTGGCAGTGTTCAGTGCCAGGTTGGACACAGCCTTGGGTGACAAGGTCTACTGTGAGATGTCCCTGCCCATGGCAGGGGGTTGGAACTACATGATCTTAAGGTCCTTTCCAACCCTAACTATTCCATGATTCTATGATTCTATAAAGCAGCCTGAGACATGGAAGTACTTAATGCTCTTAAAAAGTACTTAGGTACAAGTTCAAGGATCTAGAATTTAGTAATTAAGAAAACTTTACCCCAGAATAACTTAAAAAGAAAAAAAAAAAAAACACAAAAAAAAAACACACCACTAAACACCGTCACACTCTCTTCTTCCTCGTCTCAAGAATCCTAGTATTATGTTTCCCTAAACCTAGACAAGGACTTTGTTGCCCAGTAATTCCATTGTTTTGAACACCATTTTCTTGAGATCAGATCTCAAAGACTATTTTTTCAAAAGCTTTAGTCTAAGCAGCCCCAAAGTATCTTTGTTTAAAGTAACAGGGTACACTATTCCACCTTGCATATAATGTGTTCTCCATTGTACTGCAAAAATTGAAGTGGATCTGCTTATTGTACTCCAAGAAATACAGTAAGTACTTCTTAATAAGCAGTACAATAAGCAGCCACTTCTATATCCAATATTACCTGAAGACTACAGAGTGAAAACTGGTGTGTAGAGAAGGTTAGAAGTGGATGAATACAGAGTGATCACAATGCCACCCAGCCCCATCTTGCCTCAGTCATGCTACCTCACTTGCACTTTACTTGTGCTGTTCTGGGGGCAGCAGGTGGATGGGTGCTGTTAAAAGGGGGAGCTCTGTTATTTATTTTCAGGTAAGGAATAAAGGAGACCAAGCAGTTAATGTACTTACTAATGGCTGGGGCTATTCCACCTACAGAACCTGGTCCAGGGATGTTTCCTGCTACCGCTGCAGCTTGAGCAGCAGCAGCAGCTTGGGCAGTGGCAGCCTGCTGTTGCATCTGACGATGGCACTGGCGCAAGTCAAACACCTTTAAAAAAAAAGAAAATATCAAATTACACAGACTTACAGAAATCAGTGAAATAAAAAATTCCTCACCTCCCATCCCCAATAATCTGGAAAACTCTGCTTTCCCAAAGCAAATCCTACAGTCTCACCATACACTTAGGTAAAGCAAATCTTCCCTTACTAGTTTTATTTCTAACAGATTAAAGCTGATTCTTAAACACTCTTCATGTTACCACACTGGCAATTCCAGAACCTGGCTGAGCTGAGCAGGCTGCAGAAATAGCTTGTGTGGAAGTGACTGCAGGATCAAAGTCTGAAGGATGCTACATGCTGATAAAATACCAACTTTTCAGTTAAATCCCAGTATTTCCACAAAATAGGCATATAAATAAAAATGGAAGCCAGCAATTCCTGCTTAACTTTGTCAGACTTCATTCTTCACTGCTTCACGGAAATATGTTACTGTATTTAAAAGAAACACTGATAATCAATCGGCCTGAGGTTTCAGCAGCTAGATTCTGGGTTGGTAGCATTCTCCATCTTTGTGATCAGGCTTGGCACTAATGTATACAGGAATTCTGTTCTCGTACTAGAAACCTTGTATATAGAGGCTGATGGGGTTTCTTTCACCTTCATTACACAACCTGCCTGCAAAACTGAGGATTAAAAATAAATAACTGCAAACTTCAAGCAGTTTCTCTCTAATTCAAGAATTACTTTTTTTACAAGTGTGACTTGTGCTAAATAAAGTTTCATGTCTGACAGAGGCACCTCCAAGTAGCAATCTGTTGAAAATAATTTGTTTCCATGCAACTTAAGTGGTCCCTGGATCACTTCAGGTTCATGAAGTGGATCACTTTAACACACACTTTACACTCTGCACTTTCCCAACTCTTCTTGCTTTGGAGGTAAAGAAACAGATAACCTATGGTAAAAAATTTAGTAGCAGTTAATTTAAAATTGTAAGGCTAAAAATATAAAAACCCGCTATTAAGACTGTGATGAAATACAAAATCAGTCATTTCTGTAGTAGCTAGATGATGCTTTCATTTTAGAGTAATTTTAAAAACTCAAGAGAGCTGTCAAATGGAAATTTTAGGGCTTTTTTTAAAGGATAATCAAAAACAGTTACATTTATTTCAGTATCTCATTGCTTTCCCAACACATACCAGAACCAAATGCTATTTCCCTCACAATTTTCATCCAGGAACATCAAACTAACCTTTATATATGCACTTGGGTATATCTTGTGAACAGCATCCCCTGGAGCACGCCCTGCTTCTCTATCCAGGTAGTAACTCTGGACGAAGACCGCGTGGTCACTGAGGCATCTAACCCACACGTCACCTTCCCCTTTGCACTCCAGCTGCACTCCCTTACCTATGTGCAACCTTAAAAAGAAAAACAGGTACAATGCACCCATGTACGCATACTATAAATCACACCTTTACTAAATAAGCCTAGGTCTCCAGCAGTCATCTGTGGTGCCTTAACTTACACTCCATTCACCCAAGGATTTCAAATTCTAATTATTATCTGAGGTATAAGTTAGTAGATAGTTACACAAAATCAGTACAGTAAAAAATACTGTAATACCATGCAAATGGTCTACATGAAACAGAATGCAGAAACTGTGATATCTGAGTAGCAGCTACTGCACTCGCTGACAGTACAGAGACAGGATACCAAACACATTCAGCTCTGTTCAGAAGTGGAAAATCACCCACAAGTACTCCAGCACAGAAAGTCACTCAAGTACATACACAAAGCCACATTTTAATGCAGAACTGTTTGCTCATTTGGATCACATTACAGCAATCTAGCATCTTACTTGTCACAATGCAAATCTGTGCTTGTCACAATGCACATTTCTGAAGACATGGAATAATTTTCTTCTTTTTTTGTTTCAAAGAGGGGAAAAAAAAAAAGCTGCAAGATGGCTTCAGTTCTCTGTGATTCCACAAAGCCTAGCACGTGCATGGTGAGAATGAATGAAAATCCAAATAGCTCTCCATCAATGCTTCTTTGCTCCTCTGACAAATCTATATATTGCTACTATTCTCACATCACTCTCTGGTGTGGAGAGCTAATATTCAGCCTGCATACATAATGGCACGGGTTGCTAATTTTATCCCTGACAGCAGAGCCTTTGAGAGCAATGAAAAGCAACGTGCTTCTGCAAAGCACTGAGGGTCTTTGTCACGCAGTTCACATTCTGAATGCCTAACCGCAGTGGCCTAGAAAGATACACTCTGCTGCAGTTAATTCAGTTAAAAGAAACATACCATACTTGTAGTTTGAAAAGGGAGGCATGAACTGAAGGCAGAAACAAAATGTTATCAAATACCACAGACAGCTGGAGCTTTTGAGATGTGCGGATTACCTTGCTCTCTCAATGGCTTCTGTTCTATGCACGTTGGAAAGCTGGCCCAGGCAAAAGCGATCTCCTCCAGAAGGATCCACATACCCATCAACAGTCACGATCGGACAGCTTGAAGGGACCTTAAATGTTTCCCCAACTTGCACGTCCATTTCAAAATAAGCGATTGAACACCAATATTCTGGAGCTAAAGAATATATATGATTAACTGACCAAAATGCACAAAAAAAAACCTATAAACCCATTCCAGATAATCAATTAAGCCTTCTGAAACTGCATTTATCATTCAGAGTATGAGTGTATATTCACATAAGCAAGTTCAGATACACAAAGGCATGTCTGCTAGCACAGAAAAATGCTACATACTACAATGAACAGGGGCTTGTCATTTTTGAGCACACACTGATGTGAAGAGGTTTTGTAGTTAACACCTTACAAGTCTCTGTACAGTTTATAATTCCAGTTAGATTTTGTAAGCCGTCTGCATTCCTGCACCTTCTAACTATTGCCTGATTTTGTTCTTTAACGTAAAGAAGTAATACATTGTATGAAACCCAAAACTTTGGGTTTCATACATTGTATGAAACTCAAGTAAGTGAGGAAACCTGACAAAACACCAAGTAACTTCATATACATATACCAGCTGCTTGTGTGCTACCTGGGAGCAATTGGCTTGTCAAGCCTTCCACACAGCTTACTGTGTTTGCTTTCAAGTGTTAAGAGTTTTTCTCTTCAGACATACTAAAACCTAAAGTTGGCATAAGCTGAAGTCGCTGGAGATTTTGGGGACTCAGCCCCTTTGCTGACTACAAGGCCACATTTCCACAAAAGGCTAACACAGCAGTTTGCAGGGGAGGACAAAGAGAATTAGCACTACAATGACCTCAAAACAGGATAAGCAGAAAAGGACCTAAACACAACAGCCTGATAAGCCAGGAGCAAAAGACCATCTCCAGGGCCTTGACAGGTATTCATTCCTTACAAAGAGCTGCACACCTACTCTCCTGAAGAAATTGTTGTTCTGGTTTTATTAGGAAAGAATAAACCAAGGTGCCTGAATTCCTTTAAATTATTTTATCTTCAAATGAATACTCATGTCTCCAAGGGTGAAACCAATAGCTCAATCAGCAGGGTGAAAGAGACATACTAAATAAAATAAAACACAATTTAGCTACAGTTAAGTTCAGCCAGCAGTTATTACAGTTTTATTTATGGTACTGATTTAGTCACTTTTCAATGAACAAACAATTTAAAATTTCAAGCTCTTCACCTATGCAGCTTTCCTGCACAGCAACAGCTTTGCTGTTGCTAAAAACAGAGTATCACCTTGTACCTGCAATGGAGCTAGCTTGTACTGCAAGACAAGACCTCCTTGGTTCCATGAACTGCTACATTAATGAAGACTCCTGGAAAGAGCAAGGCCCTACACAGAGGCCCAAAGAGGAACTTGAGCACCAAAATGCAAGGACAATACCTATCTTTCAGTCTATCTGGCTGTGAAGATAGACTTCTAGATCATAGATGAGAGAGGGCTCTGGCATGACCTAAGGTCCATGATGGTCCTAAGCAAGCAGAAAGTACAACTTCAGGCACCCTGCAAAGGTTATGATCAAGGATATTCAGAGCTCAGACACCTCCAATACAGGTTTGAGGACTGCAGTTCTTGACTTAGGCATCTAAACTGAATTCAGTTTGCAGCTTATGTCACCATTCCAAAAGAGACATCTGAATTCAAAAGACCACAAAACAGGTTTTTTTCCTTCCTTCCCTTTTGAATATATATCTCAAATTTTAGAGTATTTGATACAAAAAATACCCAAACAAATACACAAAGAAAAAAATCAACAGACTCAAACCAGAAAGTTACTAGCTTCCACAGCATTAGCATTACATGTTAGATTTTACTCACCAGGATGATTTGATATAGGAGGCTGGAATGCAAGTTCATTGTGAACTGGCCCTTTAAGAGAAAACATGCAATTTGTTTTACATAAGAAAAAGCAAGGTTTTCTTTCTTAACTTGTTTTCCTATAAAAAGACACCTGTGAGGATGCCAGATGTTACAAATCCCAGTAGTTTCTGAATCAACTGGCCAAATCTGACCAGGGATAAAATGCTCACAAAAGAATTACTCTCTTAGTGGTTTCCTAAAAATCTGGGAGTAGAGCAAAGAGCTCCATTAGTATCCCAGGAGGAAAGACTCCATGCTGCTCAAGACAGAACCAGCTCCAGGAGAGAGCAGAAACCAGATGTAACACAGAGATGTAATAGAAATAGGACCTAAGCCCCACATCTGCCCTCAAGTTAGTCAAGGAGAAAACCATTGTATAGAGGCACGTGATATAAATCTGTCAGAAACCATCACAGAACAAATTGCCTAGCATGCTGTGGGCTTGACCATGAGAAACACTCCCCGAAGATGGACAGAAACCCAAGAGAACTCATTTTCTAAAGACAAAAATACTGAATACAGTCTTGGTCAGTTTATTCTCTCCACTTTCAAAACCTAAAAGTCCCTTTCAGGCAGCGGAGAACAAGAAAAAAAAAGACTTAAACATAGTATTATAAGTAACAGTAGCTTTTGCAACAAGATGTCAAAACAGGCACAACGCTGGTAGGTGTCAAAACATGCAACTCTCTCAAGTGAGAAACGGCAGCAGCCAAGAAAAGCTCTATGCGGTATCACTAGCCAGTTACAAATATTAATTATAGAAAGATCATGCACTGAGGAGTATTTATAGAGTATCTATAGCACCACTGAAGTTTTTACATCCTGGTACTTCTGACAAATACAAGATAAATGAAGTGGGATCCTAACAGAACAATTAACTTCACCATACCTAAACCACAATTTTTGTGATAGATAGAAGGTGAGAAGTCTTTCTGACATTAACTTACCATGTATTCTCCCCTCCACTAACAAATACTGCTGCAAACAGCTGATCCGGTTCAGTACTGTATTAGGAAATAAGGAATTGCTCTACCTTTTTGCCACAAAATTTAGAAAAACTTGTATTTGGGTGGGGATTTTTTGCACTATACTCTGTCTAAGGCATATACTGTGCTAGACACTTGCCCTAAAAGTTTTATCGCTATTTTTTTCCATGACCTCCTGCACCTTACAACAAGCTGTTGTGGTCCTACTTCAGATAAAAAATCATTCTCAAGTTTGTGTGCCAAATGTAGCTATCAATCAGGCTGTGTTAAGACCATGCTTTACTACATGAGCTTTAGCAAAGTTCTTTCACACTGGCTAGTATACACGGACACAGGTCATTCAACGCTTTAATGCAGATTGCTACATCATTAAGACTTTACTTCAAAATTTCTAGAAAATAAACACAGCTGGGACCTTTCAAGTATTGAAAGAAAAATACCCAAACACCACATTCTGCATCAACTTCATCTGTCACAAAAGAAATATTTACTATTAGACTGCAAAGCTTTAGAATCAGAGGTTTAGAAAGGAAACTCCAGTTTTTCTCAGGTACAGTAAGACATCTATAACACAGACGGTACCAGTATACCTATCTGAATTTCTGATCTCTGCTGCTTTACCAGAGGAAAGTCTATCAAGCTCTTACATTTAACCATCAGAATATACTAAACACAGTAATGGTAGTTCTGTAACAACAACAACAACAAAGGATTTGGGGGTAAAGAATCATCACAAATGAGCCCCCACCATTCAACAAAACTGGAAACAAAGCAAGTGATGTGAAAATCTGCACTACTTACAGTAATGTCCAGGATGCATAGGTGGATGATGCTGAAGATGGCCATTCTGGTGGTGAGGTATGGTAGGTGTGTAGGCTGCTGTCCGACTTCCGGTCCAA